AAAAAAAAAAAAAAAAAGCGAACTGGAGACAAACAAAGAGGTCTTTACGGATTCCTTCCTTCCTGTGTAAGACTGAATGCTGGGCACGAGAGGGAAAGTCTCAGTGGGCACACAGATGCAGCACGAGAAACACAACCACGAGCGAGGAGAGTCCTCCATGCATGCGCCGGGCGGCGGCACGGCCTCAGATGTACACGGGCTGCTCCTGGGCCGTCAGCAGCCTGTACATGGCAGCCGGCATCGTCTTCATGTGAATCTGGGGCAGAAGCGCACATTAGCGGGGGCTGAGGCTCCGGGCCCAGGGCTCGGGGCAGGCGGCACCTCCCACCCCGGGTGGATGTGAAGACGCTCCCCAAGCCCACTGCCGGCAGGACCTGGCCCAGGCGGCCTCCAGGAAGAGCAGGCTGCACAGGCTTTCTAAAGAGTTACGGACGGAAGGGGAAGAATGAAAACCAGGTAAGGTTTATTTTCCCAGCAAATGCTTTTGTTCTCATCAGGCCTTTTTTAAAAAAGGTGAGAACTCTTAAAACGGAAGCGAACGGCTGTGGGGTTCTGGCTGCTCCTGTGGCCACCCGCCCTGGCAGCTGGGGAGGCTCAGGAAATGAGCCGGGAACAGCCATTATGACCGGGGCCAAGTCCCTGCCAGGGACACCCCTCTGGAGGCCTGTGCTGTTGATCAGACTGGAATCGAAGACTTAAGTCTTCCAAGGACACTTGGTGAGGTTAGCTGGGAGGAAAGCGGAGAGAACTGGGCAGCTGCGGGGAGAAGCTGCACAAATCTGAGCGCTAATAAGAGAAGTTCAGTTTTGGCTTGGTATTCTTTCATATTTTACATAGAAATGAGACATATAGTATTTGTTTTTCTTCTTTTTACTTATTTCACTTAGCACTATACCCTCAGGGTTCAAAACAAACTCACGGATTCATAGAGCAGAGAGGTGGTAACCAGAGGGGAGGTGGTAACTGCATGTTGGTGAATGGTAACTAGACTTTTCGGGGTGATCGTTTTGTAGTGCCTACAGATGTTCAATTATGATACCATAATTGTTGAGGAGTACTCAGGATTGGGAAGGGCACTTCCTGGAAGGCTTGGTCAGGGCCTGGCATGAGGCAAGGGGCACCCCTGGCCTTGGCCCCCCTCTCCTACCTCCCCCACAGCATTGGAGAGGATGTGGACGATCTTCTCGTGTGGGGTGGCGACCACACTCTGCCCGTTGATTTCAATGATCCGATGTCCCACTCGGACGCCTCCTCTCTCGGCTATTCCCCCTCGCATGAGGCTGCAGATCTATCAGAGTCAAAGGCCAGGTTACCCCTGGGGCAGGGAACTGGGTGGGGATAGCGGACTGTCTTTTCTGGAGCCCTCTTCTTGCACTCTCATCTCAGAAGTGGCCATAGTTAGGCTTTGGGCATTTAAATCTGTTTCTTTTCACAAAAAATAGGGTTCCGTATGCCCACGTGGCCAGCTCCTTCATACACTTTGCACAGGGAATGTGGCAGTCACCGGGTTTCAGGCACACTGAATCCTGCCCACTTTCCATCCCAGCTGGGTCTTGGTAGAAAGAGCTGCTTGGGCCTGTCACCAAGCTGCAATGTTTTCAAACTGTCAGCCTATATAACTCGGGTTGGTTTTATTTCCCGCAATCACCAGTGGGACTCAAATGTCAAAATATCTAATGCTAGAAGCCACTGTTTAAGGTCACAGTTACATGAGCCAAACTGGGGCTGGAACCCCACTCTGTGTTCAATGGTGTGGCCAGCTGGAGGGAGCTGCTCCTCCTGGCTCTCCCAAATCAGTGGCCCTTGATCAAACTCCCTTCTCACAGAAATGACAGTGTGGCTGGGCTTTGTCCAGGGGGTGGGCAGAGGCTGCAGGCTGGTGGAAGCGCAGCTGCATTTCCTCATTTGGAGGGTTCTGGGCTCGGCCCTGCAGGGGATAGCCACCCTGCCTGGTCACAAAGACTCGGGCTCCGAGGACCAGGGCTCTGAACAGGGCCTCTCCCTTCTCATGTTGAAAGGCATAGAACTCTCTGTCTAAAGAGGAAGCCCAGCCTGCCTTCACCTATTCATTCATCCCCTTCCTGGCTGAATTCTTTCAGGGAATTGACCAACTTGAAAAATTAAAAATAAAATACCAAACAGTGTGCCACATTTGCACCAGACTTTTGGAAAACGGTGTGGAGTTGTACTTACAATTCCATTCTGGACGCTGAAACCCAGCTGGTAGCGAAGGTCAGGTCTCCTGATCAGCACAGTGGTCACTGGAGGACACCTCACAATATTAAGCTTCACCCGGGCCTGGTTCTTCAATCCCTGAAAGTGAACAGAGCACAGTGGATGTGACAACCACCCAGGCAGACAGACGGATAGATCAGGGCGGACAGGACCAGAGGCAAAGAAGCCCCAGTGAGGCTTCTGTTACCCAGTGGACTCCTGAGGTTCCCGCAATCTACTGCTGGAATATCAGCTCAGGAGAAACCACCTGCTGTACCCGGAGCCCTTTGCCTTGCAGGCCAGCATCTGTGGGCGACGCCTATCATTTTGGGAAGTGGGCTCTGTTCAAGGGACCTGAATGAAGTGGTCATCTATGCAACGAAAAGGAAAACTGCCACATGTGCTTTGTGGCTTGGGGGATTAAGGAGGCACAGTATCTCCCCTGGTCAGGAGACAATGGGAAACATACTTTCTCTGAAAGGCAAACTAGCAACTCCTCTTGGAACAAAGAACTGGCCCAGTGCACCAGGGCCGCTTTCTCTCGGTCTCATGTGCTCCCGCTTCCCCAGCCTCTGCCTGGCAGTTTATCAACATTCCCACGGGCGCCTGGGGAAGGCGGGAGCAGCAGGACTCTGGGCGAAGGCCTCCTTGGGAGAGTGAACAGGATGCTGCTGGGGAGGGAAGGGAGAAGGAAGGGAGGCTTGGAGATTGCAGCGGTTTTGTGATCCTTGCTGACACGCCCGCACTCTAGGTCAGAATGGGATGCAGAGGAAAAGGTGATCTTTAAAGATACAAAGGGGACTTGGTGTTGTTTCAGAGCCTGTTTAGAGAGCTTCCTCCACCCACTCTCGTCTGTGCTGAGCTCAGGCCCACCCTCCTGCTCCAGGAACACACAGGCAGTGACCAGCCCTGGTCTGCCCTGGTCCGCTCAAGAGCCCCCTAGAAAGTCACCTCAAAGCTGCACTTTCCCTCAGGCAGGGGGAGGTTTTGCTCCTACAGGTCCTGCCACCAACTTATGAGCTTCACCCTATAAGGAGGACACCAGACAAAAGTAATGCCGCCCTGGAATAAACGTCCACCTCCCAGGTCTCTGGAGACTGCCTCCTCCGCTCAGCTAACAATGCCTGTGTGCTGATGGTCCAGACCAAATGGCCCATAGCAGGTGTTTTCCAAACCATGTCAACTCATGGTACACAGAAAAAAAAGACAATGTATTTGCAGCCTGGTGTAAACAGACCACAGGGCTGTGGCTGGAGGCCCTGCTGCCCAAGCCCTGCTCTGAGAGTTGGAGGGGAGATCTCAGCACTCCTGCCAGGAACACCTGTGCCACTGGGCTTCCTCCCAGTGAGGCCAGCTGACCGGGCAAAGGCTCAACGTAAGCCCCAGTCCCTACCCTCCAAAGAATCAGAGGGAAAGGGGAGAAGCTGTTCCTAAAGGGTGAGACTGTGGGTAGGTGGGCAGCCTCTCCTCCAGCAGCTGCCAGAGGACAGATAGTTGTCCAGGAAAAAGTGGGCTCTACTCCCCCCAAGTCCACAGTGTCCCCTGAAGACAGCACCTGATCAATTAAAAAATGGGTCCAGTGCATGCCCTCCATGGGCAAAGTGGAAAGAGAGACATGGGATAACAATGACAAACTCATTTCCGCCTGAAAGGGGATCACCTCCTATTCTATATAGAAATCTGCAAATTCCACAGCTGCTGCTGCAGCCAACAGTCACCCCTGACCAGTCTGCAAAATCTCTCTCTGTGGCCGGTTGGGACTTTCCCTTTCACATTTTACAGATGGGGACAGACATGGACACGAAACCTGACTTGACTTATCCAAGGCCCTGAGGGGTCAGAATTGGGATGATGGTGCCCCTGCTCTGGCCACTGCCTTCCTCACAGGCACCTTGCCCAGCAGAGAGGTGGAACTGGCATTCTATGACTTCAACACCCACAGAATTTGTGACCAGAGTGGGACTTGCCTTTCTGAGTGGCAGAAGTTTCTAAATAATGAAGATACGCTTTAGACTGAAGGATGAACAGGGCCTTTTTCCTGCCTCTGATTGTCTGGCTTTATTATTCTTGGCCAACAGGTATATACCGGTGGTCCTCAAAGAGGGGGCACCACACCACCAGCAGCAAGACCTGGCCACTTTTGTTAGAAATGCAGAGTCTGGGGTCCACCCAGACCTACTGATTCAGAAACTTTAGGGGTGGGACCCAACAATCTCTTGTCTTCAGTGATACTCAATTTTGAGAACTGTTGTAGACTAACCCTGCAGAACAATGAACTCACTGCACCCAGGTGACTTAGAGCCTATGATGTCCACTTACTACTGACACCTGTGGCCAGTGTGCTCTGTGAGAACAGGGGTAGCAATGTGGGGCGGGGGCGAGGGCTTGTGGAAGAGTTGGTTGGCCTGATGTCCAGTGGGCCATCTGTGTATCTCTGTACCATATGTGAGTGCCTGTAAGATCACTGTCCCTCAAAACCAGCTGAATCACCTGTCCCTAAACACTGACTCTTGCCAGGCACTGACCTGGAGGCTTGCAGGAGCTGCCTCCTTTAATAACTGACAAACTGACAGCTGTAATTATCCCCATTGTATAAAAGAGGAAACTGAGGCTCAGAGATACTAAGCAGCTCACCCAAGTTCATCCGCAGCAACATTCAACCCTAGGTCTGTCTGGATTCAAACCCATGGCATTTTCACCTGCACCCTGATCCTCCATATAGACAAGGGGAGGGACCATGTCATTCATGTCAGGCTTGCTCCACCAAGGAGCCAGGGAAAGCAACAGAAGATGGACCATGTGCCCGAGACTCTGCTCCAGCCTTGCATGGGGCCATGCTTGCAGCTGGCTTCCCACCTGGCAAGAGCTCTTCAAAGCTCCTGTGGCTGTCGTCCTCACTGCCGTCGGTCGGTTCCAGTTCTCCTCTGAGTGCGTGCATTTTGAGGGGCTCCACGCAAGTTCCCACGTCCAGGGACTCGGCCTGTTTCCCCCGTGTTCTGAACTGCTCTGTTTTCCGTGGGATCTGAGCCTCCCATTTGCTATAATTTGGCTTATGGTGACTCGGTGTACAGACACAGGCAGCAGCTACCAGCATTGCCAGATGGTTTCCGGAACATCTCTGGGAAACCTCTCTATAGTTAAGAAATGATGATTTCAAGGCGCAGCAACAGATGAGCCGCGAGAAATTCTCCCTGGCCTTCTGCAGGCCAGCGTCCATGCCAATGCTCCAGTTTTTACTGCTGACAGCAGGCCTGCTGAAGAGCACTCTTCTGTGTCTGGGGATCCGGGCTCAAGATGTGTTTCTGCCACCACAGGCCGTGGGACCCCAGACACTCTGCTCCCCCTTCTTCCCTTCAGTCTCCTTATCAGCAAAACATATGGTACCACCCACTAAGGTCTCTTCCAGCTCTCGTTTCTGATTTCACCCCTTCTCATGCTTTTTTTTTCTTTCCTGAATGTGTTTGCTGACATCACATTGTGCTTAGAAACACCTATTTCTAAAATTAAAAATAGGCAGGAAGGAGGGGTTTGCTCAGACATCAAGCATGCATGCATTTCTTTTTCCTTTGAGTGCTTCCTCTTTCTCTGCCACTTAATCAATAAATAATTATGGATCATTTGCTAAGTGCCAAGAAATGTGTTAGGCACCAGAAGTGAGTGGAACAGGGCCTCCAGGAGCTCAGGGAAGGACCTCAGGCACACGGCAGAGCAGCTAAAGGGCTTGAGTCCCTTCATGTCTCTCACTTGATCACACCCCAGGAGACCAGGAATGTGTGGGAAGCAAGGTAAAGAATGCTGAAAACAGGAGCAAGTGAGAACCACAGCCCTTCTGACAAAGCCACCTGCTTTACATGTTTATACCTATTAACCGCTGGGATTATTTAGGTACATCTTTGAGGTTCCCGTCTATGATGGGAACGCGTCACAGAGCACATGGAAAAGCAAGAGAATGACTGTTTTCCCAATGTTACCTAAGAAGTTCACAGTGCTCTGGTGGGTTCCTTCCTTCTGTGTGGACTGATTTAAGATGCCTGATTTGTCCCCCAGTGGGTGAATTTCTAGATGGGTATGTGGGCTGCAAGGAAAGGCTTAGTGAGATGGCAATTTGAAACAACCAGACCATGCACTTGCTTGGCCCTTCCTAATCAATGCTTCAAGTTGGGTCCCATTAGCTTGCATTTCTGAGCTGCCATTTTATTAGAGGAACCAATTAAATAAACGGTCATTTCGTCCCCATGACAACAGTGGAATGGTGCAGCAAATTAAGAAATCTGGTGGGAGGGTAAGGGTAGGAAGGTGGGGAGGGGAGGGGAGAGGAGAGAAGCCAGAGTGGTTTCTATGGCAACAGGCAAGCAGAACCAGGGTGATCCTGTGGAAGGAAGGGGGAGCGGAGCTCTAGTTTAAGAAAGAAAAAAAATCAGGAGGGCAGGACCATGGAGGCAACGGGCAGGCAGACTGCTAACATGCTTGGCCTACCAATTATTATGCTTTGGGAATTATGACAGGAAAAATAAGAGCTAGGGAAGGAAGCAATTAAAAAAATTCAATACTTATAACTCCATTCTAGAAATGTATTCTATTTCTTATAACTAGGGGGAAAAAAGGTCAACATGCATTAAAGTGGCAAGACATGGACTACATGGCTTGTGCCTCAGCGCACAGCCTAAGACTGGTGATGTCACCACCTGGGAGCCTGTTGAAAATGCAGAATCCCACCCCAGGCCTGCTGAACAAGAACCTGCATTTTTAATAAGATCCCTGGGTGCTTCCAATCAAAGTTTGTGAAGCACTCATTTGGCAGGATGAGAGCTGCTTGTTAAATTCATCTTGGGAGCGCTGACACACTGAAATAGCAATGTTAACAGGAAGCCATGAAGAGACCCAGGGCATTCCCAGCAGCGCCCCAAGGTGGTGAGGGGAGGGACAGAGTGAGCATCTGCTCAGGTGCAGGAAAAAGGGTGTGTTGTCTAGAGAATTTAATAACAATACTGCAACCCACTGAACGTGGTCNGCGCCCCAAGGTGGTGAGGGGAGGGACAGAGTGAGCATCTGCTCAGGTGCAGGAAAAAGGGTGTGTTGTCTAGAGATTCGGTAGGTACTAGCAATCTAGTGGAAATTAGTGGTAAAATTTTCCCAGCTGGGGGCACAGTGGTTGAGCGAATCACACTCTTTCCTTTGACAAAGCGGTGCGTTGGGCACTGAGGAAGGGCTGCTGGGTCCTAATGGGGCTGCCCACCGGGTATTCTCTGCCGAAGGGGCACTGGCTTCCTCCATCTTCACCAGTTACACTGCTTTTATCACCACACGGCCTTTTAATTTCCTGATTTCACAGACGCTTCATTTACAGACATCAAAGGTAAGCTACTCGAGCAAACAAGCCTTTTCCTGTAGGAAACTGCTCAGAGCTGACTGTACTCTGAGAGAGCTTTGTCTCCACCTTGGACAGAAGGTGAGTCCCCATGTGGTACATGGGAGGTCTGCACTGCCCGCAGGGGTCTCAGCCTGCCTGTCTCACCTGCCTCCTTCCTGCAGAGGCGGGGGTGGGGGTGGGGT